CACATAAACATAGAAAAGTTGTAGTTCTATTATCTAGAAATTCTGTTATTTAAGCACTATTGTTGTTTCTCTACTAATTCCCGATACTCGAACATCGACTGTAAATCATTCACAGTCTAATATTTAGTGAAAATAACATTGTCAGTTCGTAATAAGCGCCACTAGTGTATGAATACATTTTTCTTTCACTGAACATTCGAAAGGGTCAGTACTTTTGCAGCAACCTAATATTACACGGAAACCTTTAAGCCGATCCGAGCGGTTGGAGGGGAAAAGCGACGCGGTCGCGCACCAACAATCCCAATAATTGCACGTGACAGAGGAACGCGTTACGCGCGAGATAATTAATTGGCCGATTAATTAAGCGGCAAAAGCCGACCCGCCGATGTCGGCGTTTCTTTTGTGACGAGGAAGGGGCTGATCTCGCTCGTGTGTATTCATACATCCGTGCAGATCGTGCACTGTTGCTGTGTTTGTTGCTGGTAATATAAGTGATGGTTGATTAACATCCAGGACACCTTCCTTTTTCGGGATTTTATATGCAATTTATGTAGGGAGAATTAATTTTATAAATGGTGGCGCAAGGATATTGAAAGTGTAAACGCATTTATGTTGAATTTTTCAGCGTTAAATAAGGCGTGATCGGCAATTATTATTATATGTTATTCGTCAGTTACTTTATTCGGTTTTAGTAGTTTATACGGGTATATATATATATTTTTTTGTTATTTAATATGTTGACTGCCACAGTGAAAAAGGTCATACGTAACCAGACACACTTCATTTTATGTTTTAAGACATAAATCGTCGAAAATATGCACGTTTAGTTAATAGAGGCTGTTGGTCTTCGTTTAAATTATACTGTGACATTAATTTTACGCAAAAATTTTATAACGATATTTAAATAACCCAGGCCCTTTTCAATGCACATGTGACCCATATTCAGGCGATGTGGCAATCAAAGTGTTAAGGAAATCTTTTTAAAGTCAATTTACAATTTTTCTGATACATTAATCTTGTTAGCTGAGGGAGTATATTCAGTGTTATTCTGCTGTTTTTGTAATGAGATCAAACTCTATCTTTGGACCAATATATTTATATTAATTTTTGTGCCTTGAATATTTGTAGATTAAAATTATGGTGACGGGCTCGATAGATTTACTTGAATGTTCCAGATACAAGTGTGATTGTATTTTCTTGTAAACTTGAGCAATTTTCACATTGTATGAGGCGCTACGAAGGATTAACTATTGTATAAATGGATAATATTTTAATTTAATAATGAGAGTTATTAATGCATAATTTACACATATACCGAACATATTGTTATTAAATTTCTGGTATTTTCCATTTGAAAAGTTTAAGCAACTCACGATTGTGCACTAATATTACCAGAAGTATTGTCAATGTAACATTTCTTGCATATAAATATTTTTATAATCAAGTATAGAGAAACACGTATAATAACAGAATAATAGCGTTTTCATAACGTAATACCAAGGTATTACTATAATCCCGCGGTAGCGTTGGCTACAAATCGCAGCGCGTAATACCGCTAGCGCGGGAACTCAGCTGGCAAACTCGCGCTCTGATTGGTCGGGGTTTTTCGTTAATATCTCGGTAACGAAGCCTCAGATTACATTGTTGCTAAGGAAAAAGTTGTTCCAATTCACCCCCCGAGTGCCCCGTTTCCGGGCCGGACAACATTTTTGTTACACCCTGTATAGGCCTAGAAAGTGGTGGGGATGCTATGAAATTTCCATATGAGGAAATTTTTGACAGTTGAAGCTGCGTCACGCTTACTACTTTTTCGGTTACCACATCGTGGGAACGGGTTTTACTACCTCGCTTACTCACGAGATAACGAAAACGTAAGGGCGTTCTCCTATGCCGGGTACGAGCTCAGACTATTAGAGCGAGAAGTATGAGAGGACATTCTTTATACGTAACAAAAAGATTACGAAGAGCGCAGTCATCAATTAACGTGCCGCGAAATAATCCCTCAAGCCGTATGCCTAACAGCGCGCCGCGGACTCATTTAAATGCGTGAATTGCGCTTTGTCCGGCAGATCGTAAACTTTTACGCTCGAATTTAACGTCCATTCTTCATCGCTCCATCGGCGCTTGATACCGGACACTTACTCGTTCACGGCTCGAGGGTAGTTACGATGCGTCGGGAACGTTCCATTTTACAATGCAGAAGGACGATCTAAGTCAGTATTTCAAGTAGATGGATATCTCAACGAAATTGATATCGTTCGATCGCGGATTGTTGCACCAAAGTTCAATGCGCCGTTTAGTGTGGGTTTTGTCCAGTGTAACAGAACGACTGTGTGCATTTTATTGCGCAATTTGGTGAAATGTGCTTCCCGATCTGTTCGATATACGCTGTTCTAGGTAGATTACGAGCAGATATCGCTTTTAAGTTCGAATCGGGGATTTTAAAGTTACTTTGATCTGATTATAGACAGAAATGATACGAACATTGACCAATACTATTACCTCTGCGGGTTTTTTGTTACATTAGATCGTAGTGGATGTGGAATGTCTTTTGTCATACACAGAACGGGATGTTTATATCTTTTCAGTGCTAACTAATATAACTTGTTGACTTTTTCTTACTTTATATTACTTGTCATCTTTCACTTCTTTCTGATTCATAACCCTCCATAGACACACATATTTTTTCACACTCCCTAGGCAAAATGGGTCGTTTATGTACAAGTCTAATTTTTGTTACTGTTTTAGGGAATCGAAAAATCTGCAAAAACTCTAGGATACTCATTAAAGTCTCCAAAATGTTATACAACCGTTTGTTAAGTCTAATGTTTAAAATTTATTTCAATAAAAATAAAAATTTGGAGGGCAGTCCCGAAAACTTAAGAATTCGCTTAAGTCTTCAACGGCCCATATTGCCTACGGAAGGTTAAATAGTACGAAAATTAAAAGATTGTTTCAAGGGATGCAATGTTTGGGACGAAATTGTTAATGTTGACCATGTTGGTAACAATAAGAAAAATCAAACGCAAGATTTGGCTTCTATGTTCCCTTTTATAGACACTTGCCTATTGAATACTCATATTCAAGACCTCAGAGCCAGAGTATATTAAGTCACACTTACTAAACTTCAGAGAAGAGCAAAATAAAGGTGCAAACGTCTTGTAACTTTGGAACCCTTCGTTAGGAATTCAACGAGGAACAATCACTACCTTCGAACTATTGAATGAACTTAAGACAAGTCTGGATATGTTGGAATGGTGGACATTGCATTAAGTCCCCTAGGTGATAAACTTTTGTTTGGCTCGGAATAAAATATGGTCTTAGTATAGTTTTTACACTATGATGTTAAAAACTAAACAACTTAGAACGGAATAATTTTTACGATCGGAAGGAGTGTAAAATTTAATGTGTAAAAAAGAGTGGACTTAATATAGTCTGGTTCTGGGGTCCAGACATAGATACATCAACATATACACTGTCGGTGATGTGTATTGGGACACCTTATTTGTACGAACAAAATGTGGCATTTCGAAAGAGCAATATATTTTATACTACTTTTATTATTTAAGAAAAGTGTAAGCGTTGTCAATCAAGCTTTAGTGTCCCCCAAACAATATTTTGTTTAGATTTCCAGCAATTTCCTGACGCTATGTAACATTTACTCCATATATTTGATAAGTGTTCTAATACTTAACAGCGGGAGCGTGCATCTATAAAGCAATTGAGATTTCTAACGCTATTTTATATAGTCAACAATCACGGATTCTAATAAATGATTGAAAACGGAAAATAAATTGCTACATGGCCAATTGAACGAGTCACCAACCACTGTTTATGATAATAACAAAGTCCTTATCACACCACGAAAGAAAATACACAACAAAAAAACAAGAAAAGAACCGAAGAGAATAAGTAAAAAAATAAAAATAAAAATATGTATACAGAAGTGATATATCACACATGTCGTAAATGCGAGATTTAATCCACCTGTATTTAATCCCAACTTAATATGACACGCTAACAATGTAAAGATCGTATACCTTCACGATCTGTTACATACTTCAACACAAAGTTTTGAGAAAATTTATACACTAAACATTTAAACTCTGTCGAAATAAAAAGATCGATTCTTTTCCCATTTATTCATTTTAAACGCGCACGTGTTCATATTCTCGAATCTATTGCTGTCAACATTTTCTATATTGTCTTACCCTTAGATACATTTTCTAGATTGTCTTACCCTTGGATATATGTACACAATCTAAACACATATGATAACGGACTGCAGAACATTCAGAATTTCTACAGACAAGACTACAAATTTTATGGTATGCATGGTTATCTAAAACTCCGTGTACTAAAACGTTTAATAAAAATTTGATTCTTACTTTATTATAAATTAGATAGACCCATTAATATAACAAACAAGTTTCTGTTTGATTTCAGTCCTCGTAACTTAAGCCATAAAAGTCTGTATTTACATAAACATCCTCAGGTTACATATGACTCACCCTAATATTAACTCACAGAAGACGTACGTTCTTAATGATCGAATAGATGGCGGTACCTGAGTCCAAATCGACCCTTGTTCATCTGCTTTAGATGTGCTTGGGAACGTATTTCTTTAGAATATGCTGGTCTCCTTATGAACTACTAATACAAACAACTGAATCGCTAACTGCAGAAAGGGGACACGTCAATAATAATTATTTACGTCCATAGCTCGCTAGGTAATGTATAGATATGACTCTTTCGTGTAATAAACAGTGTGTTCAGCCAGACAAGTGGTACCCTACCAAAAAGCGATTTCCTTAGAACAATGGAGATATCCCCTTTACGCAGTTAGCGGTTCAATTGTAAACTTCAATCAGTTTCTGTACGGTAACATTGTAGGTGGAATTTCTAAAATCCTGGTTCATAATGAACCCAGACACAGTTGTCGAAGGTATTGAACCGCCTAATTCCTAGTAGGAACGTCAAATCACGAAACATTCACTTACCCGGGATGATGCCTCGTGTACGTCGACGGTGTCGTCGCAACATGTTGATAGTTCTGAGTGACCGCTTCTCTCGGCTGGTGACGATGATTATTATGATAACCGGCGTAAGCGACCGTTCTAGTGCCAGCGTATTTCATCACCCCGGTGAATTTCTCCTGTTTCGACGAGCCAGGTCGTTGCTCGTGCACACGCTGTTCCACGTGATATCTCGACTGGCTGATCGACGGTGATGTCGTCGAAACCGTTTTGTCCGTGCGAAAGCTATCCTGGCGGGACAAGCTCTTCGTGGTAGTCGTCAGCTGAAAATCCCTGTCGTCGCGATCGTGTCGCGTTCGAGTTGATTTCTCGTGGTACCAAAGCGGCCAAAGTAGCCTGTGATTGGTGTTGTAACCACGATAATCGGTGGGAAAGTGTTCTACTGGTATCACATCGACTGGTAGAACAACGATCAAGGCGCACGCTAACAAAACTCTCGATGTCAAAGCCATTATCGTTGATTTTCGCCCTTGGTTGAAATATCGATTCCTCGATGCCTGGTGCGAGTGAGTTGCTACTGACGAATGGTCACATTCTCGATTCTTCCGGACGGAAACACGGCGACGATTGAACGAACAAACTTCACCGAGTAGTACGTCGACGACGACGGGGCTCGATGGACATCCGGTGCGAAATCGTTCGAAGGCAACCGAGAGAGCACTACTGAACGAGGAGACACACACCGAGTAGGCCCCACGTGCTTGAACCGCCTCGTACCTAACCCCACCATTCTTCTTTTCTCTCTTAGTCTCTCTCTCTGTATATCCCGGTTCCTCTCGTTCCGCCGCCGGTGCCGTTCCCATCTTGTTCCTCTCCGTTCGGTCCACGGCGTATCGTTCTCCTTTTGGCGTGTCTGTATACTCTCTTTCTACCTGTCTGCTCTCCTGATACCGAGCCGCCTGCTTGGCTAACCACCTACATATCCTGCACGCGTTCGACAAGTAGGTTAGGAAATAGAGACGGTGTGTGCTGGGCACCAGGGAGCTGGTAGTGGGATCGCGGACGGATTGCGAAACGCCAAGTGCATTGCTTATCCTGACGGAATTTCTGCTCCCTGGATATTCGTTGAGGCTGTAGCAGTTTTTATTGCCGGACCAATGATTTTCCCGTTCGATCGTTTCATTGTACGCGTAATTAGTAAACCATTAAGGACTAGTGGAACTGGTCGTTTGCGATTGTTTTTTCCAGCCAATTTACCTTATTGAATTCTGCGTTTTAATATTGTGCTTATAAACGGAAATTCCAGGAATTTACTTAGTAATTTTTTGCTGCTACTTTTGTCGCCCAGGTACGTAATTTTATAAGGAATAAAAAGTGTTATGAGTAAAAATCGTATTATTGCACTGCTTGGTTTTTAATGGGTTCATTGAACATTTCAGCGGCTGATCAATATGATGTGGAATACAAAAATGAATTATTTCATTTACCTGTTTCCATTTCATATTACTTTATTATGTTCATATTTTGGGAAAGATTAATGGGAATGAACAACAGATTTATAATTTTGGACAAGATGAAAATCATTTTTAAGTAATCTAATAATAAAAAAATGTACATTTTTTAAGTAATTCATAAAAGCAAGAGTTAAATAGAAATTTATTTCTTCCTTTAAGGATTTTATTAGGTTAAGACGAAAGTAAAATTTTGTTAAACTTGATCGACACATTATATTTTACTGTGTTTCACATCTTCCTATATGCTGTAAATGCATGAAACTCACAGTTTACTTATTAAAATTATATCCCCCCATGTAACTCCACATGAACTAATCAAGATTATTGAATAGTTTTTAAATCTGTACATGAATAATTTCATTTTCTATAAATGCTATTTTAAGATCGCTAAAAATTAAGAAGAATTTATTCTCCGAAAACAATCTCCATATTTATTTATGCACTGCAATACCTTTTGCACAAGACAAAGAATATATTGAGGGCTGAGAAGCCAATCAGTCTAAAAGTCAGACTTGCATTAAAAGTGACTTGTGTCGTGTAATAGCACTTTCATTATTCATTTTATACGTATACATATATCCTATAAATACAAATAATTTCTCATTTGTTAACGGGAATTATTACTTTTACAGCCCATTTTCGAAACAATTATCTCTGTTAACTTACTTGGTGACTTCTACTGATTGGCTTCTGAACCCCTCATATGTAATTCGCAAAACTATTAAGGTGTCTATTTAAAACGTAATTATTCTGTAATCTGAATTTTGTACTGTAGTAATACCATTGAACAATATTTAATTATCTATTTATATGAATCGTGGTGGGAAAGAGAAGTTTCTTGCTAATGAGTATAAAAAAAAACAAATATCTACTAAATTAAAAGAAAATAATTTAAATATAAATTTTCTTATATGATGATAATTTCTTGCTGGTATAAACGAAAATTCATCGTTATTTCTTCACTATTGTATTTTCACAATATTAACTCTAAAACGGCACTGTATTATTTTCAATTCAATGTTCAAACGTCATTAATTGTTACAACTCTGCAGATGATAAAAATTCCAACAAAACCTTTCTAGTAATCTATTGTGTACCTTACAATTAGTATGGAAACAATCCGGTAACCCTTCACAAACCAAATATACGAAGTGTGATTACTAGATTGTGGATTTTTAGTCAAAACGGCATTCTCTAAAATAATTCATAAAGACAAGAACATATGTAGGAATTTCTCACTTCTCTTAACCTCTTGTGGGATACTACCACGTATGTGTACGTTTAGTTTTACTTTCAATCAAACATCATTGTAAAGGTGTAATTAAATATTCACTAGGAAATTCCCTACCAAAAAACGATACTCTACCTATTATTGTCAATATTTATAATTCGATTTCGCTTTGCACGCGAAAGTTTTCGTTATTTTTACTATCACGTTTCGTTGAACGGACGATAGTTGTTATCAAGAAAACAGGGATAGAAAAATCACGTAAAAGTCATTACGTCACCCGTGTACACGAGTACCTACCTACCCGCAGATATCCAGGAGCAGGTAGCGGAAACGGAACAGGTAAAAGATTACCGGAACGGCAATACTTCACTGTGCGACCGACATTAAATCAATGATAATTACGAGTCCCGCCACCGGGCATTGTCTCCTCGCATGCGTATATTATCTAGCATCTATTCATTACCACAAACGTAATTGCGCGTGTAAACGTGCCAATGGAGGCGAGAGCACGCTATGCAGACCACACCAGGGGCCGGCTTTACTTTCAGTCCCCTTTATTATCCAGGCGCGAAATCGATCGGTTGGCATTCCAGTTGCACTGGGGCACAGCAATGGCTTTCCTTTGCCCCCATAATTTCTAGCAGCGAACGCACCGGGGGAACGCGTGACTCACGATCTACATTCGTCTCCTCGAAGCAGTGACACCTATTGTCGTGGCTACACGCAGCGGGCAGCGGGTGGGTTACATTTATTGCTCGTACATAAAGAAACTTGTGAACACGTTGAGATCTCGTGGTCGATCGCATGTACCGTTGAATTTTCTCGAGATCCGTACGATGGCGACTTTACCCTTGTGTGGGCAACCTGGGTATCTAGGTACCCATTTCTATATTTCCTTTCACATTTCTGATGTTCTTGTTTAAAACAGCACTTAGGATATTATTGGAAGAGAAAATTACGTTTGGGAAAAGTACAAAAGAAAAATTATCTATGTTTGACTAATCTGTCAGAATAGGACGTTTGGAGTACTTAGATAGCTTCATAACCGTGAACATTTCCGTTACCCACACATGGATTAACCCTAAAACGTATGAGGGGAGGAGCTGCTAGAACCCATAAGTTGAATAATGTAAAATTAAAATAATTCCTGTCTGGAAAAAATTCTCCAAGAATTAATTATCTATTATTGTATACATGGTTTAAGCTTGATATTCAAAAGTTCTCGGTACTATACAGGATGGGACAATAATTATTACCACCTCAAATATCTTCGAAACTATAAGATTCACAGAAGTATATGTTCAACCAAAATTGTACAGTACGAACAGAGCCATCCGAAGGCGCTAATAGTTTCTTTGCAGGTGGAGGTACTTTGGATATTTTCAAGTCACTTCCATTTTTTTGAACGAATTGATATATTTTTGTTTCCGCAGAACGACAGGGGAGCTTAAAACGAGTTCAACGACCTATTACATGAGGACATTGACGATCAGAGAAAGTACAGAAAAGCGACAATGCTTCGGGTTTACTTCACTGAAAATAAACACTGTTTGAAGGACACTTTAATCAGTTTGCAGAATAAGATAAACATGATAAGAGTAGTATCGTATCGGTCAAGTGGCCACGACGTATCCGTTTGAAGAGCAAGTCGGTACGATTCTTATTTATGGCGAATGCCAACAAAATTCTGTAAGGGTAAAGAACTTGTATGCTGAACGATATCCACATCGGTCTCAGCCTTGGCGTCGAACATTTAAAAATGTATGTAATAAACTTAGGCAAACCGGTAGTTTAAGTGTTCGTAAAAGTGCTCGCAAGTGTGGCTACAAATTCTCATATTAGTTCGCGACAAATTGAATGCGAATCTGGCATAAGTAGGAGAAGCGTATTTCGCATTTTGCACCGTCACAAATTTCATCCGTACCACTTTAGTCTTCACCAACAATTGCAGGGGAACGACTTCATGAATCGTGTTGAATTTTGTCGATGGGCTAAACATCAGACCTAAAACAATGAGTTATTTCTTAATACCGTCTTATTTACTGATGAGACAACATTCACACATCACACGAATGTTAATTTGCATGAGAAAATGGTCTGTGAACTGTATGGTGCGGTATGACAGGTGATAAAAGTATTGGTCCTTATTTTATCAATGGAAATATGAATGGCAACATCTACGCTAATTTGATTAAGGATACATTGGATCCTTTGCTAGAAGAATTATCTTTATTTACACGATAAACTATGCGGTATCAATATGATGGATACCCAGCACATTATTCATTGATTGCGCGAGGGGAACTCGATGAAACATTTCAAAATTATTACATTGCACGCGGCGGTCTAGTATCGTGGACAGCTCGTTCACTAGACTTGACACCACTAGATTTCTTTCTATGGGGAACATTGAAAGATAAAGTGTAGAAAGAGGTACCAACTATGGTCTGTTCCACTAAAGCAGAGCCCTGGGAGGTCTGCCCGATTATTCGCGGTGTTGTTGCGATCGCGACACATCTTCGGCGCTCGTGTCTTCTCACTTTTCGCGTCCTCGTCTACAGTCGTCTGTCTTCACAGTACGTATTACAAACCTCTTCAAGAAGAACCTATCCACAATCTCAAGTAGTCGGGACTGCTTTCGGCACGCGACCGTCGCGTTCATGCTGGACACCAAAGAAGCATGGAAGGCGGTCGATGAGTATGCGGTAATCGTTCCCAAACGACTACGCCTCGAAGAAAAGAATTAGAAACGCGCGCTAGGGCAGCGTGAAAAAAAATGCTGCTGTAATAGTAATCCTGCCCGCGAAGTAATACCTGGCGGTGGCTTCGCGGGACACTCAGGAAAGAAAGGTGAGAAGAAGGGCGGTTTTTAGTGGGTGAAAATTCCACAACCCACGGAGCACGGGCTAGTGAAGTCTTTTCTTTGAAAGATTTTCCGCCTACCCTCGCAAAAAGAAAAAGAAAAGAAACATGCACAAGCATATATACAGGGTGCAACATGTTGCTCGACCCTGAAATGGGACACTCGTGAGGCGAT